TTCTGCATTTGAGCTTGGAGCGTTCCGTCCCGGAGTCCCAGTCGCCTCAGATGTTTAGAGAGGCTGACTGGGATTAACCCATTGGCAGACACGACTATCGGGATAATTTCGGTCGGCACACCACCCCACATGTCGGTCACCTCGTGAGCCAGGTCCAGATACTTTGTCTTCTTATCTGTTTCGGCTTTCACGAGGTTCTCGTCATATGGAATGGTAATGCCGACCAAAAATACCCGCGACTGTGCCCGGTCCATCACCACCATATTATTATTATTATAAGAAGCAGAGATGGTCTTCGACTTTTCTTACCTTCTTGAACAACCTTGCATGCCTTGTTACGTCTGGCGATAGGTAAATAAAGGTCTGAGGTTTTTTTTGGCCGTGGACTTTCGTGGACACGCGCTATATTTCACCAATTCAATACAATTGCTTTACATGCGTAGAGAACAAACATACAAAAAATAATTTTAATTTAGTAAGCTAACTTAAAAATATGTCAATCTGCGGTGAGGTCACGTGGTGGGCTATGCCCTGATACCCTCTGTATAGGGGAGGCCTTAGCCCAGCAGTGGGACATGAATAGGCTGATACTTTACATTTTATTACTTACCTACTTGGTTGGGACTTTTACATACACAATTTTCACATGGACCAACACACTGATTGTGAACATATGTCACTGGGTGCCCCGTGTGGGAATCGAACCCACAACCTTGGCATATAACCTACCAACTGCAGTCACTTCATGCCACGCTACAAATACATTTAGCCATTATAATATTTCTTAACTTTAAGTAGTTTTCCAACCATATAATTATTAAATGTACGTTCTATTGACCACCAAGGTAGGGTGTCGATAGGTTTCTAATAGAAGTTTAAGTAATAATGGTTGTTTGAAACCATAAAACCGGCGTATTAAAGTACTAACGCGTTAGATGAAGACCTTTATTGGTTAAGTAATCCATAAATGCGCGATTTCAAATCAAATGGAATGCTAATTAGTTATGTGACGTAACATATATTGTTTAATATCGTAATGTTTTTACATAAAACTTACGTGTGAGGCTTTCTACTTTTATTACCAGTAAGAACTTACTTTATCTTTTTGCTTTCAGCACTGAATAATTAAAAGAATAGTTTTAAAGCATTTCTTTATCAACGAGAAAGAACCAAAGGTCGGTAGAACATCAGGCAAGCATTCACTTTCTAATAGTGATTGCTATTATAATGATAAAAACGGAGTAACGATACTTAAAAATATATATTATAGACCTTATTTTATATATATAAATATAGAAAATAAGGACAATTAAATTAAAAAAAAATACATCGAGACAGACCACATTAAACAGCAACTATTTTCAAGTCACACAGATATAATTATTATGCGCCCGAACTGAATCCTCTACAGTAAACAAAATTCATCTCCTTCTGTCTCTCCTTAATTTTTCTTGTCCTATTTTATAATAAACTAGCTGTTAACCACAACTTCGCCTGCGCGGCCAAAGGGAATTAACAATGAGTTCTGTTTATACACCAGAATATCTCGCAGATGGCTGAAGTTTTTTCTACTAAGGTGACACTTATCATTACCTATATTTTGGACAATTCACACAATATCTTTAAAAACTATAGCCTATGTGTTAGTCTGATGTATAAGCTATATTATTGTAAAGTTTTATTAAAATCCATTCAGTAGTATTTGCGTGAAAGTGACAAACATCCATCCATACATACAAACTTTCGCCTTTATACTATTAGTAAGGAAGTAGGGATAGTAAGGATAGTATCTCTGTTACGTGTTTTTTTTAGTTATATTTCAGTTCGGAGTGCATAATTATAGTGCATCATCCAAAATGATTGACGGATTTTTTGCTTACGATGAAACTGCAGAATGAACTTTGTAACAAAGCGTTGTAAGTTCAAAATCCATTACAGTGTAGAAATTGATACTTGAAGAATTGATACTTGGACATCGTATAATTAAGTTTAAGCTTTCATCGCGTCGATGGATTTAGGTACGTTTTTGGAAGTCAATTTGCTGCGGTATTGACAAAAAAGGGCGTCCAAAAATGCTTTGAATAGTATCAACGTATCTTCGTCTTTCGTCCGTACACTGACAGAAACATAGACGCCATTTTGGAAGCCATTTTTGCGTCCAGAATTTAATTAATAGGTGGACGTAAATGCTTAAGGTTAAACTGAAGTATTTTAAGGGAATCTTTCAAAATATCTCTTTCTTCACCTTTTCGTAAGTAATTTAAAAAGAGAGACAAAGAGAACTTTGTTTCTCTTTTTAAATTACTCCACTTTTACTGTGGTTTACGATTTTCGGTTTACCGGTAGAGTCATTAAAAGATTTAATGAATGTAGAGATATGTGTTATATCAACTATTAACACATATCTCTACATTCATTAAATAATTATTCAGTAAAATATTTTCAATGCTTAATGCAATACAATTATTGTAATCTTAAAAAATTAATTTGATTTCTAGCGTACCCTTTAACATATTCAATAAACAGCCGCCATGTTTGTAATCAAAATTATGGCTACCTTACAAAAGATCGCTACATGCTCTTATGAGAAAATCGACTTCCCAACTCCAGTCGATTTCAATTCCCGCAACCGATAACGGTTATGACATAATAACACGAACGGAAAATAATCCGTTCTCTAATCATCATTAAAAATGATTAATTCGTAAACCATCGAGTCTCTCGCCGTACCTTTTTTAAATAACTTTTTTTTCGTTATAAAGGAAATTAATTGATTCGTGTGATTAAGTACTATAACTTTAGTTAAGTACTAAAAACAAATTTTAGCGCAATGCCCTATTTTTTGATCTTAATTGCCGCGGTAGTTAGTTGTTCTTGTTAGTTACAACCCCGGTGCCAGCACGATGTATTGTGTTAGAAATGTTCATCGTTGAAAATTCTTTGTTAGGTGTTTCATGCTACATCTAGTGCTCGTAATTTACAAAGTATGCACACTAGATGACGCCAAATATTGCTAAAAATACAATAAAGAACGTATGTACGAAATAACTTACACCTTTTTACAAAAAAACATACCACATCGCGTCGGGAGCGTGGTGACACGTTGGAAATGCCGAGGTTTTGACTAGCTAAAACCAGGAAATCATTTCTTGGTAGATGTATTAACTTATATAATAGAATAGGTGACATGCACAAACAATTAAGTGTAAATAATTTCAAACATTTTGTAAAAGCCACCTTAACGGAAAGGGCCTATTATAATGTCGAGACCTATTATGGACAAGGATGTGTGAAAATGACTCTTGCTCTGCACTTGCCAGTCCCATGGCTCCTGCAATTTTATACTTAAATACTTTTCTTTATATACTTAAATAATTTATAAAAAAAATCTATGACCGCAGAGTTTCTTGCCGGTTTTCTCTGGCAGGTCTAGTTTAGTGAACCGGTGGTAGTTTTTGACGTTCAATAAGATCTTAAAACAAGCCTATGCTGAATAAAGGAATTTTGACTTTATGAGATAAATGTTGAGATTTTCCTGCCGTGAGGTCACCGGCCACTTAGCTAAATTGGTAGAAGCGTTTTTGTTCATTTTATCTACAAAAATCATACGAACGGCGTAGTGAGTAGTGTATCTGCCTCCTGCGACAGAGGGTGTGGGTTCGATCCCCACTACTGGAAAAATATTGTGTGATAAACATAGTGTTTTTCTAGTGTCGCTGCGTTTATAAATGTATAATATGTATTTATTTACAAAAGAAAAGTATGTTTATCAGATATCTAGTAGCCATAGTACAAGCGTTGCTTAGTTTGAGACTAGAGAACGTTGTGTAAAAATGTGTCCTAAATATTTAAAAAAAAACGTCAATCAAGACCAAAACATCTTCAGTGCAGAGACTAGCACTAAAATAATAAAAATTAATTCCAAAAAAAATCGTATAAAACCGAACACATATTCAAATAAATTATTGAAGTTTGAATTATGTCCCCAAATACTAACCACTACACTACCACTGTCTTTTCGTCTTGCATTACCCTTTAACCAGCTGTTTATAGATAAAACAATCTCAATAAACTTAATGTTGGTGGCTTAATCGAATCATGGATTTAATATTCGTTAAGTGCTTTTCTCCGTAAGATATTACGAACCAGTAAACGGCTGTCCCTACTGAAGACAGATTGCATAAGATAAGTTTGATTAAAACTTCAATATATAATATGAGAAATGAAGGTATTTTTTTAAATATAAGTAGATAGTTTTTTTTCTTAACTTTCACTATGACAATGTAATAACAATCTACAACCTTCTCTTTGATTAAAACATCAATATATAATATGAGTAATGAAGGTAATTATTAAATATAAGTGTACGGTTTTTTTCTTAACTTTATATTATTTCATAACAATTTACAACATTCTTCTAATAACAAACGTGCGGTATTGTATCTGTGTTAAGGAGCTGATATGTAAATAACGGAGACATTTTTGTAAATAAGAATGTTGGAACTCCAAAGGGACGATCTATATAAAGATATACGCACAGAATCACCGTTTGAAGTTCGAATGTCCCAGTTAAACGACGTGTTGAAATTAGTAACGTAATATGGCAGGAGTTACTTCCCGGTAAAGCCGTTGTTTAAACAACTTTTCCGGATTTTTATTAATAAGTTTTGTACAAATTAATACCCGTCTGAACAAATACTATTCCCAAATAGCAATTAGTTAACGATGAATGTAATGATGTTTTCATGTAGGGTCTTTATGGACCAGGTTAAGGTGCGTATTGACCATGTTAAGGTCTGTATTGACCATGTTAGTCCCTATATTGACCGTGTTAGTGCCTATATTGACCATGTTGGGGCCTATATTGACCATTTTAGGGCCTATATTGACCATGTTAGGGCCTATATTGACCATGTTAGGGCCTATATTGACCATGTTAGGGCCTATATTGACCATGTTAGGGCCTATATTGACGAGATTATTATCGAAACTGCCCTTACCGATCGCGAACAAAGGTATATCGATGCCCAACGTCCACCAGATGCTGTGTCCTCTCGACTTTGGGTCATGGTGCAGCAGTTGCGATTCGATGTCCCTCCTCTGGAAGAGAAAACACTATTAATTTCACCGTGATTTGAGGAGGGTCCAATGCGTCCGGGAGAACACCTCTGGTAGAGATGGCATCGTTAGTTACGTATGTCACCATTTCGGGGCGAATGGAAGGTCGTGGCGTGGTGCAGGAAAGCACCACAACCTTCGTAAGACCTAAAGGAGTAAAGTAAAAAGTCAACTAACAACCTGTAACTGTCCCACTGCTGGGCAAACTCCTCTGTATCCTATATGGGCAAACTCTTGGTATTGAATATGTGTAATCTTGACATTTGAGCTTATCTCATCTCCTTATAAACACAATAACATAATGTTTTGTACAACACTAGCTTCAAAATGGCGCGAACGTACACTGAATATATAAACAGTCGGTGAAAGTGAGCACGTTGAATTTATCGATCGGGGAATTTCAAGGTCACGCTGACCTTGCCCGCTGCCCTTCAACGTGGCCTTTGCTCACAGCGTGCCTAAATCTTCAAGGACCGTTGACCCTGAAAGTAGGGTGACCAAGTGCGCATCGTATGGAATTTGGACAGTGCCCGTTTGTGCCAAAACGTTGTAGAGTATTCACATCACGCCAAATAGAAGTAACAATGAAATTATTAAGTAAGCAATTGCTGCCCTATCATATAATACCGCTAGGGTTCAACTATTTCATTCTAGGAAAGGAATCCCCCACTCCTAATTTTAAAAGGCAGTATATAGTTTTTATGGGATTTAAGGAATGTTATATATTAATCCAGTATGTAAGTATAAATTCCAAATCCATTCAGACCTATCCATTCTATACGGTGGTAGGGCCACGCAGCAGCCTCGGCTGTTGCACGAATGGGCAGGCCCGTGGTACTTACCCGGGTAAGTACCACGACCTCACAGAAGACCGGCGTAAAGTGAAAGTATGACAAATACTTTCGCGTTTTCGGTAATTTCTCTTGAAAGTGGCTGGTGAGTGAGGTAGCCGGAGCCCAATTTTTAAAAGGTTGTCAACGCCTCTGTAACCCTCGGGTGTGGCAGATGTCCATGGGCGGCGGTATTCACTTAACATCAGATGAACCGTCTGCTCGTTTGACAAATTTTCGCATAAAAAAAAACCTTTCGCTATGAATAGAGAACGAAAAAAGTGTCGTAGAAAGATAGTGATTCTACGCGGTCGTCGTACTTCCCCTAATAAGCTAGCATCATGAATTTAACAGCAGACTCTGCTGTTTAGCTCTGCAGCATTAAAATCGTGCTCGCACAATCCTAATTGTTTATTAATTAATTAATTGGAACGCATCCATTATTTTAAAATATACACGAACGTGAAATTAATCACACGTAACGTGTGAGGTCCTCGTATCTAGCGAGATAAATCTATCGACGAGTTGTCCTTCAGAGACAAATGGGTTCATACGATCCTTGAACGGGGAAGTGTTTCTAAATACGTACATTAAAAGTTGATAGTTACGGTCGTGAAATATTTATGCATAATAAAAAAATGAGGCAGACTTAAAATCCGTAACCACAAACAAATGTATAGTGACATTTCTTATTTGATTTTGAGGAGTTCTGGAGTGAAAATTGTAAAAAAAAATACAACCAAATTCAGAACCTCTGAAACACACACAGCATACAAGAAATGTTGAACATAAATACAATTAACAAGGATATTTAGCCTTTAAGGAAGTTACAACTATGTATTTTTTTCTTAATTAATGGTACGTATGTGCAACAGGCGTCATATACATTTTAATCTGTGTACATTTTAATTGTGTCAAGATTTTGTAGCCCCATTGACCTCTAGAAAGTCATTCGTTGAATTGTGAACATTAACATACTGAGACATTACAAAAATTTCTAAAGGTGAAACAAAAAATGAAAATTTTTATAATATACTTGGTAAACCGCCTTCGAGTCATGAGCTTTACTTCGTTTACAAGGCTATATTTGCAAGGCTTAAGGTTTCTGAAACACTGATCATCGTAGAAGATAACTAATCAGATGTCAAATGGCTTTTCAAATGTTATTTGAGTTGCCAAAAGGATATTAAACTCTTTGAATTGATCATTCTGATCATTAAGAAGATCATTCTGATCAATTCAGAGAGTATAACATTTCCTTTGGCAACTTTAATAACATTTGAAAAGCCATTTGACAGCTGATTAGTTGATGATCAGTATTTCAGAAACCGACTGAGAGTGGTTACACTTGCAGTGATTAGGTCGCATGGTCAAATCCTAATGTCATGCACCAATGTGGGCAAAATAAAAAATCACTGCTTATTTTCTGCCAAATGTTATTTCTTCGCATAGACTTACATCCCTACTGTTTGTAACGACACAGGTAAAATACCCACCATCAAAGTTACGACGAATTTGTCGTTACGACGACGTCGTCAGAGCCTAATCGTCACGACAAAGTAGGTCGAGAACAGTTCCAGGAATATGACACCTTTACCAGGATCGGATAATTGGGTAAGGCTCGTATAACAATGGCTTTGCGGCTGAGAAATGGAATTTAATGTCATTTCAGTATAATGGAAACGTATTTAGCGTGACGTAGAAGATTCACGTATTAGTTCGCGCGGACTTAACCTAATATTGATCAGAAATTGAATTCATGAATACTGGTGGAACCGTGCGGATTTTATAACTAATAAGTGTACCAGCATCCATCGACTTCCCGCACACTTGCACAGGTCGTCACTCCATCTGGTGGGGGGGGGGGTCACCGTACATTGTGACGGCCAGTACGAGGCTGCCACTCGAGAACCTTTCTTCCCCAACATTTATTGGTTCTACGAGCAATTCCGGCCCATCGCCACTTCAGCTCTCAGCTATGTCGCTAATCTTTGTCCTACATCTACACACCATGTCTTCGTTGCGAACTCTATCACATATAGAGATCTATCAGATATACACATTAATGAAATTAAGAAGAACATCACTCATACCACGTGTCGATTGGCCGCGCACCGCATCTCAACCGCATTTAACTTGATCACTGACAATAAGTCGTTAGCACAACACTAATGTACACAAAGCAATTTTGTGTCTAATTATATTTGCGACTAATCGATAAATCGGTTATATCTTATCGTCGCGGTGACACAGTGTTCATTTTCCAACGGTCTTGGTGATTCACCGATTCGTGGAGAGTTTGCCTTCATAGTTTTTTTTTATGTGATAAGGTGGCACACGAGCTAGCGGCTCACCTGATGTTAAGTGATAACTGTGTTTAAGCCACGCAACAGTTTACTGTTGCACGAATGGGCAGGTCCGTCCGGGTAAGAACCACGACCTCACAGAAGACCGGCGTGAAGTTGAAGTTTCACACTTCTGCGTTTCGTCTGCTGAGTGAGGTAGCCGGGGCCCACTTTACTTAAACGTGGCGACGTATTTACAACCCTACGGGTGTTGCAAATGTTCATGGGCGGACATAAAAAAAAGTAATAACCTTTTGCATCATAATAAAAGGAAATGCATCACTGTTGCGTGGCCCTACTATGGTAAAAAAATATATAAACATCTATATACGATTTAGAGAGATTAAAATTTTACTTTGAATCAAATAATAATATTGATACACGAACAGTGTCTTTATCTGACTTCCCCATTAGCATTGAAACTTGTAAAAGCTAATTTATTTTGTTTTATAAGAATAATGCTCTGTCTCTCTCAATTGTGGGTCAAGTTCTCAATTTTTTAAGATATATATGTAATCTAGTATCTTATAAGTTTATTCGATGAGCATTGTGGAAAGTTTTATAATAATCCTTACTATCCTTACTAATATTATAAAGGCGAAAGTTTGTATGTATGGATGGATGTTCGTTACTCTTGCACGCAAAGTAGTATTTGCGTGAAAGAGTAACGGAGAGGACGGATTTTAATAAAACTTTACAATAATATTGCTTATACATCAGAATAACACATAGACTATAATTTATTTACATATTTTCATGTATATCTGTCTTTCTGTCTGAATGTTACGCCTTCAGCCTATTCTACGCAGACGTAGTCGCGGGCAGCAGCTAGTATAGTAATGAACGGAGATGCACTAAGAGCTCACAGAAGACTGACATAATAAAGATGTATTCATATTTTCATTGTTTTGTGAGTGAAGTAACTCTATGACCGTTCTTAATTAAAAATAAATAAATAAATATTTCAGAACACATTTACACAATGTTATCTACTAAACTAAGCAAATCTTGTACTAAGGATACTAGATAACGGATAAACATACTTTTTTGAAAATAATTACATATCATATTCAGGTCAGCGGGACTTCTGGTTGGAGTGGAGTACATGCACATCGACTTCGGTAGTTATTTACCATCGGGAGAAATTATAAGCAAATTTAACAGATTGACTTTGATTTTGATTCCCATCGTTTCGAACACTACAAAATTAATGTTACGGGCCGGGCTTACTTTAAATGTAAATTACTTCTATTTACCGATGTAAGCGTGGTATTTTAAGGATTTTATTGTGTGGATAGCAGTGTTTACCTACATACAATCAACCATTTTCAGGAACGCCTTAGAGACTGCAGCCTTTAAATCGGCTCTGTGTCTGAAGAGTTAGTCATTAAGATTAAGGCGATAACATCATATAAAAGACATCAAAAAATCGAGCTGGATTCTCGTTTGTCCTCTATTTTAAAAAACGATCGATGACTCAGGCGTCGGCGGTCGTACGTTCGATTCCCACACGGGACAACTAGTTGTGTGGTCTGGGTGCTTGTCCACGAGAAATTTATGTTTGTAAAACGACACAGCATAATGTTATCCCAAAGCGATGGCAATGTTTTAAAAAAAAATGCAAAACTCACCTTCAAAGACCTTCTAATCGATCCCAAACTGTTTCGAATAGCAGAGACCCTTTGCACCATCGCGGTGGATAACACAATTGTTTTCAACTGAAGCAACCCGGTAACTACTGAATGTCACAACCATGAAATCACTTGAAAAGATTCCGAACTAGCGTAATGTGTTCACCATTGCAGTA